TAAGCCTAGTTTTTCTTTGATTTTCATGACTTGGCACAGCAGGAAGTGACCATGGAAAATGGTTGCCTGTCCCCCTGTTTAGAAGATGTGCCATAGCGAGGCCGTTACACCACTCTGCAGGTATCTTCAATACCTCTGGGTCTTTGATGTGCTGGTAGATATAGCTAATGCTACACCCATTATACGTAGTGCCACTGCGGAACATGCATATTATTACATATTATGTGCAATTTACAATGAGTTAATTTAAATTTTTGGAAGAATATTACCTTTTTTTTTTGCATTTCAGACATGAAACCAAATGTATTAAAAATATTAATACAGCCATTTAATTTGGAATCTTTATGTAGTAACCAGGACACAATGCAATCAACACATATAAATTGAGGGCATGGTCTGGCGCTTCCTAGCATGTAGAAATGTTTGAGACAAGATTATAAGCATGTTGCACTAACCATAAGTTCACAGTTGGATGCTTATTCAATAAAATAGTTCTGTTTAGCTGTGGCAATTAAATTAGCGCAGAAAATACTACCACATCTCTCACACACCTTGCTATGCTCCTTCTTCCAAATGTCACTACTGACCTTTTCTGCAGCTCTTCACAATTATTTATGTTTTTGAACAATTACTAACAATATATCCAAGATTCCTATCTCTCTCTTCTCTCCTGAACGTCAGTAACACCTGTGGATCATATGACCAGCCTCTTAAAGAAAGTACTTCTTTGGCAGCTGTTAGTAATGGACACAGATGCTTCCTCTATTGCAAGTTTTCTTAAGACAGGTACCACTTACCAGACAAGTTATTTATAGCATTCCTAAAAATATTAGGGAATGTATAGGAGGTGCTCATTAGAAAATAAAAATAATACCTTTACTTAAGAATAAACACACGCATATCTACTCGAGAAGTAATGATTATTTTCATCTTCTGCAAGGTGGTGGCTTACATGAATCCAGACTTTTGTGGATGACATAACTTCAGGGGCCACAGAGACATCACAGATGTACCGGTGACTTTAATGCCTCTATGAACAGTCTCTTAAGTAGATTTATAGTTTCTATAGATGCATAGATTAAATCTACATGCAGATTAAAAAGGCAGGATTTCAACAACCACTCAGTCTCCTGCCCCAATTTAACAAGTGTTCAGGCAGGAGAGAGAGGAGATGAGAACAGGCTTGCAGAGGCGTGGGGTTGGTGTTGCACCCCTGACTGAGCCAGGATACTAAAATGATGCAGCCTACAACCTGACTTACACACTCTGGATCTCCGGTGCCACAGAGCAGAGCTGAGCCCTGTGCCTGGCCCAGGATCTCCAGCAGCTCATCAAGGGCTTGTGGTGGCAGCATCTTGTGTCCCACTGTGGGGAGCAGTGGCTGACCAACAGCTCTGCTTTTATCCCCATCCATGAAAGGTAGGAAAAACCTTCTGCCATGACTCAGCTTTGATAAAAGCAAGAAATCCACTACCAGCTGTGGCTCCTGGCCAGGAGAGCGCAGGGACAGGAGACATCTCAGTAAGGACGTTGTTGCTTCAGCAGCTATAGAGACCATCTCAGTTTTGGCTGCTTGGAAAAAATGCTTGAAAAAACCTACTTCAGTGCCAATAGTTAATGATAACTCCCTCCCCTCACAATGACCTTGCAAATTTGTTTGTAGGAAAATGCTTTTTGTCTTAAATTAAGATTGCACTAATTTAAAAGCAAAATCTGCTTAATTAAAAAAGGGGTATTCCATTCCCCATTGGCTTCTCGCCCTTGTAGATGGAACCTCTTACCCTGGGTACACACGGTAACGCCTCATCTCCTGGGTTTAATGAATCAGCAAATCCATGCTTTGTTTACAGGAAAGGACTACATTATTTTTCTTCTTAAGTACCAGAAATTCTGGGAAAAGCCAGCATAGGCAGTGCTAAACATCTGATCAATTAGGCCCATAGATGGCAGGATGGGACTGTCCAACAAACGCTTCTCATGCGGGTGCTCTGAGAGGATTACATACTTCATACGCTTACCCACAAAAAACAACACATTTGGATGATACAGAGGACTTAGCCATGAATAATTAGCAAATTGCCATTCATTATTAATTTATTGGAACCACTGCTTCTCTGTATTTTTCCCGCAAGGCTCAGTCTTTCTATTTTACAGCTGCTGAATTTATTATTGATAGCTAGATCTTAGACATGGCCAACAAGTCTTCAGTTAGGGATACGATAAATTTCATTGTGTTTGCAGGATCTGGGATGTTCATAACTCCCCAGACGGGAGGTTCTTCTGCAAACTGATCTGGCTATCTGTCCCTGGGACAGAAGTGGCTCTGGGTGACCTTCTGCTGGGCGACCCCAGCTCACAGCAACAGTGGGGTTGTCCTCCGGCCATGGGCGAGCAGCCATATCCCAGACAAGTTCTCCTCCTGCTCCATCCATCCCATGGGTGCCATCAGGTACAGCTCCATTAATCTACTGTCTTCTTTGCTCAGTCCGAGTCCGCAGCCACACAAAGTCAGCTTTTACCTTGCCCTGACATCCCTTTACCCACTCCATGGATTTCCATTAGCTCAAGGTTACCTTTAGGGATCACAGGGAGCCAGAGCCCTCTTAGTAGTAGAAGAAAATCCTTTTTCTGGTATCCATGAGTTTTATATCTGCATAGGGTGCAGACACCAATAACAGAGAATATGATTAGCTCTGCCCCCAAGAAAAGCTCCCAGCTGTGCATAGCTACGATGTCATTTATATATTACACAGGTATGTACAAAGAAAGAAAATATAGATTTTCTAACTCTGCTATAAACAGTTTTCTTAAAAAAAAAAAACCCAGCAGCAGACAGAAACAGCCAATTAGCAATTACTTCGTGATATTGGGCAAGGTGCCAATACCTAACAGCGGAGGTGTGCAGGTTTCCACGCTCAGGATTTGAAGCGCTCCTGCTGTAGCTGTGCATTGTGACCGCGTTTTGATAAAAACCCCTGTGTCTTTATGCACCCATTGTGGTTTCGCACGGGAATGCAGCGGGGCTTGCAGCGGGGCTCCCAAATCGCGACCATTATTGGCAGCTGCGCTAATGATGCTATTCCAACTACTCCACATCTCAGACTGTATTGCACCAATGCAATTAACAGTTCAAAATGCATTCTGAAATAAGACATCATCATCTAAATTTTTAACATTTGTCAAGTAACATGATGATCAAATTATCCTTAACCCTGTATTTGACTATCAAATATTGCAACCAACCATTAACTGCTAGCACTTCCCCTGCACATACCTGAACCAGGACATATGCTCAGCTATCATTGCCAACAAAATAAAATGTAAGTAGCATTTTGCAAGAGAAAATTCTCTCTCTGAAGGATTAAGGAGTCCATACTTAATAAGTTGCTACCCTGTGGTTTTTTGGGTTTTTTTTGTAATTTTTTTTTCCTTAAAGTGATACTCTTCCCAGATAACATTAATAAACACTATGAGCAAGGAAAAAAAATGCACCAAATGATCTTCATTCTCAACTGAAATCTACATCACCACCTTTCAGAAACCTCTCCTTGTTTTGACTAGATTAAAAAAAATCATACTATAAAGTAAAACATTTCATCTTGGTCTTTCAGTCAAACCTCTGAGCTAACATCACCCTCATATTTCATTCCGTGAGGTCAGGTTCAGACCCAGATTTCAGTATTTTCTCTCAGATTGTTCTGCTTCACACATCCCATCTCTTTCATGATGGGGAACATCTATTTTTATGATTTGTAACAACGTACTTGGTATTTATATGACATTTTCAACCTCTGCATCTCAAAGTGCTTTTTAAGGGTGGCTACATGGTACCTCAACAATTTAAAACTGATAAAATCCTGGCAGCAACTAAAAGACAGATTCAGCTCTGTTCTGTTCATAATTAAACCAAACCTTCATTTTACCTTCTCTGAATTGCAAATACACCAAATACTATCTGCTTCTGGCATAATATTCCTCTGTTTTCGCTTCTTGCATTTTCTCTTTAAAATAAGTGTAACGTTGTCTCCACTTTGTTAATGATTTCTCAAATATTAAAAAAATGGCAGCAAAGGCTTCAGGCTATTTTCTGCTTATTACATCTCTTCTGCAATAATTTAGAATATCCTGACAATACATATCATATAGGAGGTATATTCAGAAGGAACTTTCACAGCTAGAAGGCAATAACTCTAGGATTTAAGCAACTGAAAATCTACGTTTCCACTCAATAAGGAATAACTTTATGTAGAGAAAAGCATGTAGGATATATTTTAAGTTTTGTCTTTCAGCTTTATCACTATCAGAACAGATTAGCACTGAAGTTCAACTAGGAACATCTTCAGATGCCACTGACAGATGGCTAGATATTCAACAAATGTGAAATACTACAAATTCATAGATAAAAATACCTTTCAAGGAAGACATTTGAGACCCATTTTTAGTAACCTTCATGCTACAAACCTCAATGCTTTGCTTTGCCTATTACAACGCTCATTGTCTTTTCCAAAAGATTTAACTTCATGCCCTCTGCGACTTCTCTGTACCAGAGGCCAACGACCAACAAACCGACCTGTGAGCAGGGCTCTGGCACACCCCAGTTATTCAGCTCAGTATTTTCCTTGAAACTAGCTGGAAAAGCTTTTCACTTTGTTTACAGCAGTACCTTAGTGATGCATTACTGGTATTCTGAACAGAAAGATTTTGTCATGCTAATTCTGTCTCTATACCACGACGGCGGGTTGGGTTTAGTTGTGGGTTTTTTGTAGATTCATAACTCATTGATAGCCCCAAAACATACCATCATTTTCAGAACAGAAACCTTTCTGCAGCACAGAATAAATAACTAGGTGCATTATTTCCCAGTACCAAGGAACGCAATGGCATATATGCCTTGTGAAGAAACCAGGGGGAAAAAAGCATGTTACTATTTTTTGGCTTTTGAATCCATGTACGTGGAAACAAACAACCATGAACATTTGCCACATGTCCACACTACTTACGGTTGAGAGGCAGGCTGGCATTGGTCGTCCCTAGCTTGTTGGCAGCGACACATGTATAGTTGCCAAAGTGCTCTTCTGTCACATTGGTAACAGTAAGAAGTGATCTTGTACTATAATTTTTAATAGTAATTCCTTGTTGACCATTGATCAGTCTAGAAAGCAAAAAGAAAATTTCTGTAACTCATATACCATAAGCAATAATTTTTTTTTCTTTCTTTCTTTTTTTTTTTTTTTTTCTTTTTTTTTTTTTTTTTCTTTTTTTTTTTTTTTTTCTTTTTTTTTTTTTTTTTCTTTTTTTTTTTTTTTTTCTTTTTTTTTTTTTTTTTCTTTTTTTTTTTTTTTTTCTTTTTTTTTTTTTTTTTCTTTTTTTTTTTTTTTTTCTTTTTTTTTTTTTTTTTCTTTTTTTTTTTTTTTTTCTTTTTTTTTTTTTTTTTCTTTTTTTTTTTTTTTTTCTTTTTTTTTTTTTTTTTACAGACATAACTGGTAGCACAGTCAGCTGTTTGCAAGCTGCTGACGTAGTCTGCTGAGCAAAATTATCACAGCAGCAGACCAGAAAGGCCATGGGCAAGAGTGGAGCTGTGGGGTGCTGATGGGAACAGTTTCTGCCTGTATGTCCTACAGCGGGAAGAAAATAAAGACTGAAACCCATGGGCCTGCCTGTCTGGCCATAGGATAGGATATAAACTCTCAGGTGGAGAGTTTAGATTTTAAATTGGGCAAACATAAATAAAAATTTAAATACCCTATTTGGGGCAGAAAAGTATTACGGTAGGTCTTTCAGAGAGTGTTTTTGCAGACTCTGGAGATCACTTGAGTCCTTACACACCTCCGGCTGATAGCAGATGAGGATTAGGTAGCCTGAAACATGACTAGATAGGATTGTGGCCACAGTTTATTTTACAGGTCTCTACAGCTACAAATCAGACTTGCAATTAGGAAAGATGTGCTACAGCAGCACTGCGTCCTGGGACAGCAACCTGAACAGCAGCCAGGTAACAAAGCATAGGAAAAAGCCAAGCCAGGGCTCTTTTCACTTGTCTCTGTTTCCCTGGCTTCAAGCTTCCCCCCCAAATTTCACAGGAACATGTGCAGGTCTTTTGATGTTGCTTCCAAAGCCATGTCAGAAGCATCGCTGCTGCACTGGGGCAAAGAAAGATGACCGATTTAAATGTGTTGCTGTTGTAGGTAAACCACGTCTCATCAAATGAGGAGATGAGAAGGGTAACCACGTTATTAAAATACTAGTTACAGTTGATTACTCATAATTTCTTATGTTTCACATAAGGAGCAGAGTTCCAGATTAAGTATACAGTTTTTGTTTGATATATTGAAGGATATAACTGTATATCCTGGGAATGAACGCAATCTTTTAGCATTCTGTTTAAAAACATTTCAAGGCTATCATTAATTGTACTTCTGCGTATTGTGGATTGCTTCCGTTTAATCACTGTATGCTACTGCACATACAGGGGTTTTCTCTTCCCTGTTCAGTCTGTGATGCTGTACAGGACTCTGGTCTGCTCTGCGCAGCCCATCATTGGGGAGAGGACATAGCACATCCCACAGACACACATGGTTTTGTGAGAAACAAAAAAAAATGTGATTGAAATGCCTGGTTTGGGGTGAATGCTGCAGTTAGAAGATTCATCTTTTCTCCAGACTCGTGAAAGGCAGAAGTTTGTCCTTTCAACCTATGCATGTGCTTCTGCACATGTATATCCTCCTTGTGACACTGCCAATGTCCCTCCCCCCTCTTTCTGCCTCCCCTGCAGAAAACCCCAAGAGCTTTCTCTGCTCCAAAACACACCCTGCTATGATGCTCCCATGCCAGCATGCTGGGGCTTGTAGCCAGCAACAGCGTTATCAGCGTGGCAGCAAGTGACACCGTGCATGTGGTGCCTGGGGAGGCAGAGCAGGCAGGTGCTCAGCAGCACACCCAGGTTAAGTCTCTCCAGCCCCAGGCCAGACGCTTTCCTCAGGATGCCCCTTCCCCCTCAG